TGTATAACTGTCTTGTTCCTTTTCTTCCCATAGCTCCCAGAACCCTCCCCCTCAGGGTGCAACTAAGAAACCCCCCATCAACCTCCCCATTGTTGGACCTAAGTATTGCTTGTGGGACGCTCCTGGGCTCATGAACTATCAGTTAGGGCATGTTCACCTCATTGCTTCCCCAAGCCTTTCAAGTGAATTTCACAGTTGCACCACACTTCATTTAGACCTTTTAAAACACCAATGAGAAGATGCCACATTGAAATGTGCTTCTAAAGATAAAAACTCAATGAGTCATGACGTATCTCGATCTGGGGGAACTGGAATATCCTTTTGGCCTAACAGTCCCTAATCTTGTTCTATATCATCTTTCATCATATATAAAGTATTAGCGTCAGCATGGATAGCATAATTCATATACAAAAAAACTACATCCCCCCATCCCAGTCCAGTGGCCAACTCTTTATCCCTATTTTGCAAGTAAAACTAAATCGTGAATGTCATCATGACATCTAGGTGACAACAACTCATAACTAAGTAAAGAAATTATACTTTAACATAAAATTCCTGCAAATTAGCTCTGGTTGTTCTCTGATAACTACTATTCATTGTTCCAAATAGCTCTTTCTGTATGAAGCTGATGTCCACCGCGGGGACTTGTATAGCTGGTTTCTATATTTGAGCATCTTCTTATGTACAAGACCCATTCCATTACACCAAAGCCTTAATTTAGAGCTTCCTACAGTTAAAATCATAGTTGTTTGTCAAAATGGAATTGTATGACTTACATTAAATCCACCATTTTCATCTAATAGCACCTTTCCTTCTCATTTATACAGTAATAAATATTCCCAAACTCAACATCCAAAATTTTCAATTTTACCGGGAAAAAAATCACAATCCTTACCATCTAAATCATCTAGACCAAGAAAACACCATTTTCAAATATATATAACAAATATCCACAAATATATATTTCTCAAAAAAAAAAAAGTTTAATAGTACGAACCTTTCATTACGAGAGGCAAGATTAAGGAGGGCTAATAAAGCAGCTTCACGAGCAAGTAGAGAATAAGAACACGGCTGTAGCATATCAACCAACGGCGGAATAACGCCGGCGGCGGCAAACCGTGAACGAGTCTTACCGGAAAACGAAGATTTCCTCACTAATTTCCTAATTTCCTTAGCTGCTTCAATTTTCTCTACCTCTTCCACTGCACTCTTCAACTTCTCTGCTACCTCCTCTATCACACTCTTGCATTTTCTGTTCTTCGTCTGCATCTGCTCCTCCTCCTCTTCTTCTTCCTCTTCAAGATTGCCTTTTCCTTCTTCTTCTTCTTCTTCTTCCATCAATATCTCCTCTTTTACCATTTTTCTGACACCCTTTTGAGCTCTCTTTCAGAAGGTGTATTCAACAATGGAGATTCTGTTGATTTTTTTTACAGATGAAGAACAACTTTATTTAAGATCCAACTGTTGTACTTTTCTATTTAGAGGTTGTACACTCTTGAGTCTTTGCGTATTTTATGGTAATTTACTAATTTTACATTTACACCCCCTTAAGTTTAAGGAAATATACATTAACTACCTTTTACTTAGGAAGTAACGCCCCTTTCAATCCAAAAAAAAAAAAAAACTATATTATTTATCTCAATTCTCAACTAAGAAAAATAGAGATAATTTATAGGAAATAAGTTCTTTTTCGAAAAATAAAATAGGAGTATTAAGATACGAAGATAATTTTTAGTATGTACAACTATTAAATCAGAGGTCGATAAAACAATAAAAAAAAATTATTACGTCAAGGGAGAGGGAAGTTTTTTTAACTATTTAAATGATGCATTTCAATTTTTATTTTGATTATTTTCTTGAACTAGTAAAGTGAAAAGAAGAAAAGGAGAAGGTGTTGATTAAGAATAAGAAATAATTATGCTTAGCAGTACTATGCAAGTTATTTAAGTAAAGTGTATTTAGAAATTAGGATAAACTTAAGCATCATTTATCCTATATATAAAGGAGTTTTAAAGATTGAGATCATGTGATTTACGTAGTCTAATTTCAATTAATCACGATATTGTCGTCATAGTTAGTTCAATAATGCATGCATTAATTAACATACAATATCTTTTAATCATTTTGATATGAAGAGGAATGATTCATCAATGGTGAAAATAATACTAAAATTATAAAAGCTAAAGGTGTTCTTCTTGATGTGGCCTAGTCTGGATTTAATTATAAAATAATGGTCCTAATGCAATTAAAAAATGCTAATCAAGTAATATAGTTTATTTTTTATATGAGTCTAATTAACGATCGTGTGAAGAAGATGGGGAGAGTAGGGTGGTATGATTGATTGAAATGAATTATTGAAGGTTAGATATTGAGACGTGTATAAAGAAGTTCACGTAAAGTTGAATTATGAAAAATATATAATTTTAATTTACATATGAATAGTGTGAAAGAATTTGATCCTATTAAGTCTAAAATTATCTATAATTATAAGTATAATTAAGATAAATGATGAGACAAGTAATCATTATATGAGAATTTAAAAGTCTATTTGATTGATTGTCTGATATTTTAGCCTATCAGTGAAAGTTTTTTTCTCTTTCTCCCTAAATATATTCTTTTTGGTAAAAATGAATTAAAATACAATATTTTATAGGTAGGACAAATTAGGCGATAACACAATATTTACATTATTCTATCATCAAGACATCAAAGAAAAGTTATTCTAATGATACAAATAAGGAAAACAACATAAATTCATATTAATATTGCTCTCAAATAAATATTGGACACTAAATAAAAATCGGAGAAATGTCACATATGGGCTAAGCTTAGTGTTGATCATAATATGGAAATATATTGTTCTATACTCTATTTGTGATGTACTATTGATTTATTAGAGTAATTAGAAAATGCCTTTTTCAAATTACTTAATTATGATGAAATTATTAGAGAGGGTAATACTTATATACAAGAAAAGTAGTCACCAAACAAAGTTTCAAAAAGTATATGATTGGATTTCTTTGTGGACTCCTCATATTAATCTATATATATATTAATACATCCTTAATAGTCCCTTCTAAATTAAATTTGAATTACATACATCAATAGCAAGACTCTTTTCCATAGGTTTGTATCACAAAGATCATAAGCTAATAGTTAAAAGTTATTAGTATATATAAAACAAGATATTCTTATTTTAATTTGTTTATCTTACTTTTTAAAAAAATGTATTAAATCATATTCTCTATTTGTAACGTGATTTAAAATGATAAGATTAAAAGGGCATGTTGATACATTACACACATCGTTAATTTAAGACAATAAAATTTAAACGTTTTTTTTAATTTTTTTAAACTTTATCATGTTAAATTAAGACAAATAAATCGAAACGGAGGAAGAAGTATTAAACTAGCAACTCCTTGAACTTGGCAAGAATATACCATATATCCATTACACTTTTCCCAACAATTATATATTAAGGATTTCCAAACCTAAAGTTACTTTGGACACTTCATATGTTGGTAAATGGTTTGGTTACCTACCAATTATACCTAGTAATATACTATTATTAATTTGGTCAATCTCAACCAACTAAGAATAGTTTTTTTAAATTGATGGCGGCCATATTTACTAAACAAGAATAATTACTTTCGACGGAGAATTATTATTGTAATAAGTCATTAAATCTCTAAAACATAAGAAAGTTTTCTTTTTTTAATTCCTTTAATAAGATTCATGTTTTGGCCAGTAGAATATATCTCTATGTGTATATGTAGAATTAGTCTTTTGGCATTTGGTTGAAATTTTAATTCCAGTATAAACAATTAGATTGGAGAGATCTTTTATCGCGTTCTTCTCCTATTTGGCATAGTATTTTCTCTGGTAGGCTTTTATAAGGGCGGGTATGAGAAGGCATCCCCTCTCCCTTGTCAAAGCTTCGTTAAAAGCTTGTTTTGCTTATTGACAAACTTATGACAGTTTTAAGATCGTCTAGTCATGATTATATTTCGATGAAATACTCTTAATTCTAGGTATAGTTTTGAGTATCCAAGGTCCAATGGACCCAAGTGATTTGGAAGCTAATGTTTGTATTTTGTATGGAATTATAAATGTACAATTCTTATGACATGTCTGATATTCTTGGCACTTTGTCCTATAATTTGGCTCATAGTTTGTTGTTGTCTTGCACTTGTTTGGATGTCTAGCAAAAACGAAAATCAACACTTTCGAGACATACTTTTTTGGCACAATACATAGAAAATTTCATTTAAACACTCGCACTATAGCATTTATCGATTGAACACTAAAATACATGATAAAATATTCTCATTAGATACTTACCAGGTCAAACTTGAGAAAAGTTTCTCCATATATTCTCAAGTGCTCATAAGTTAACTACTTAAAATATACCAACTCCTCTAATTATACATGTACATTAACTTCAATAAGCCATAACATCTCGAGCTTGTTCCAATTGAGGTTGATGTAATGTGTAATTAAAGAAGGTAACATATTATGTAGTTAACATATCCATATAAGACGGTTGAGAATACTAGCAAAAACATTTAATCATGTGTTCAAATGCTCAGAATAAGACATAAATAAATGTCTAAATAAAGATTATTGACAAGTTTAAGAGGTTGTCGATGCATTCCGCCACGGGTACAGATTCAATGTGAAGTACCAGTAGTAACTTACACATTGTTTCTCTTCAAATTCAAGCATTTCTTAAACAAATCCAGGCATTCATCATCTCACCAATTTATGGCAGGATATATACATGACAAACAAACATTTCATTATAGAAAACACTGCGAAGAGGAAGACAATTCATATTTTCTGGCTTCTGCAGTCCCTTTCTGGCAAATTTGGCACTGCAATATCAAGTGCATTCCCAGAGTGCCAAGACTAACAGTGAATTGCACGCGAGATCACCAACAAACTCAAGCAGTATAAATTCACCACACAATTTACTGCGAATAATGCCGCATTTTTCTTTGCACCAATTACAACAGTTCCTCAAAATCAATTTACAGGTACAAAGATACGAATGAAAGCAGGATGTATGAAAAAAAAACCGAGAAACCTCATTGCTTTCGAGAGTCCTAAAATCCTATCAAATGGAAGAAATATATAGGGAAGAAAAAAGTTTAACCTCTGATGGTTATTCTACCAAAATGTTCAAAACTATAGAAGGCTATAAAGTTGTAAACAAAACCAATCGGCATATACCTGCCTCAACTAAAATCTGCCACTATCAGTTACAGGAGGATTCACCATTTAAATCCTCAGTCCAAGCAAAGAAAGAGACCTTTGGTGAAGTTCTCTTCTTTGACACACCCTTCTTAATTTACAGTCAGCCTGCACACTTCTTTCCAACATTTGATGGAACCATTCCTCCACACCAAAACATGTTGCAACTCTAAAAACTCCAATGACAATATTCATTTCTTGTTTTATGCTTTGCGAACAAAAGAATAGCTCCTCAATAACTACTTGGCCAGTTCATCTGTGCATGCTGAGGCCGTTGATAGACATTGCCGGTTGGTCCAACCATATCAACTGGACCAGCTATTGTTTGAGACTGCTGCAGAAGTGGATGAACAGTTGCTGCTGTAACTGGTTGAGCTGGGTGATAAACACCAGCAAAAGCTCCATGACCTGGTTGAGTGGGTGTTAGAGCCACTTGACCCTGAGGAAGATTATAAAAGGAACTTGCTTGCAAGCTAGATAAATCTCTATTGTGCGCATTAATCCACACACCTGAGCTTTCACTCTGCAAAAAAGAGATGTCGCATCTACAATCAATCACATTCTTCAAACATTCACACATATGATAAATATTTATGAAGTGGTGGAACGAAAACAATTAGCTCAGGGACCTCCTTGACAATGCTATTTCACAGGGGAATAGGGCATTGAGGCAATGGTACAAGATATTTAATCAGAGTAGGGAAGATAAGTTGAAGTCTAAGCAAACCAGTATGCCAACTTATTCTGGAGGCAACAACAAATCACATTCAGAAATTCTAATTGTTATCTCTGTTTCAGAAATATTCTTCCCTCAACTAGAATGCAGACATGGGATAAGCCAAAGCCTCTATTAGCATACACTTTGCTAGGAAATGGACAACTGGTAACACATAAAGTACATATAGTATTAATGGATGTATTACAGTAATAGACAAAACTAAGATCAAACTCAATTTGACAAATTAATGTACTCCAATTTCTTTTGATGAAGTAGGATTTCATTAGAAAGAGCTTCCACTGGATGCAATAGTTGCAGCAAAAGAGGAAATGTCAGTCCAGATTACAAAAAAAAAAAAAAAAACTTAAAGGCTAAAGCAGTAAGGAACTGATAAAATCCATGAACGAGTCAATACTATTTACTGGAGAAAAGTTAGCCAGCTAAATAGGCTAACCAAACAACTAGTTTTGAGTGAACATATTTGAGTTGATACCCCCATCAAAACATCTCCTATTCCTTTCACACCAAATACACCAAAATATGCAAGCTGGGACCATAGTCCAGATATTCCTGATGGGGTTCTCAACTTCCCTAGAGGCCCAACTGATATAATGTACTCCAATTAGATTAGACTAATCAGTTTTTGGCTTTAATTCTTACCAGCCTAACCACTACCGCTCAAAGCATTTCAAGCTCTAAATACCACAGTTTTCACTATTTTCAGCAATAATGGTGCACACATTCTCAGGAAATATTTCAATGGAGCATAAAGAATCACAAACATTGCTAAGAGCAGATAATAGGGCTAACCTGTTGTCCACTCAAATAGACATTACTCTCCTGGAACTGAGATGCAGAAAGATCCTCATTGGAAGCAGGGTTTCCAGTCGTTGTAGCTGAACTAGGGTTATAGTTGACAGGAGAGGATCCATATGGCGCATAAGTGCCAGGCACTCCCATGTGAGCTGGATTTCCCACATTAGCTCCTGGTCTATATTGCGAAAGTGAGTATCTGGGAACAGCTGATGGTGGAGGTGGATATATACCGCCAGCCTGAGGCTGCTGGGAAAATGCACCATTGCTTAATAATTGATGGATGGCTCCTGGTGGAACATAAAGTGGTGAAAAGTAGTGACCGTATGGAATGTAATTCGGAGGATAATGGGGAAGATGCATCCCTGTAGCCTGTCGAAATACGGGGATAGGTTGCTGAGGTACAGCTATAGAACTCTGCATAAGCCCAGCAGCTTGAGTCACAAGTGGTGTTGGAGCTGCTGCAGATAAAGCAGGACTATTCCCACCCTGCAGAACAATCAAATAAATAAATACAAGCACACTCCTAGGAGTGGGTCAACTGAAGCCAGCACATCAAAGCATCACAGTAAAGTGAGATATCCCTAAACTAATTGTTCTCTGTGCATTCTTTATTAAGGAGACTTCCCATGAAACTACTTGAACATCACCATAAGAAGTTAAATCAAGACTGATCTATTAAAAAGAACAGAAGGGCATCCAAACCAATGATTTTAGTGCATATAGAGAAGTAATAAATATATTTACTCTTTACTCAGCGGCTTATTGAGAACTCCTACAATATTAATCAGGAAAGCATGTTCTAGCAAAAGGAAATTTGGTGCCCTCATAATTTAAACAGCATAGAATCTGCTTTAATAGCTCTTCCATGGTTATTCAGAAAACATTTGGTTGAATATGATTCATGTTTATCATCTGGAATTATGTCTACAAGAGGTTAGAGAATTTTCACTATAATCTAGAAATATATTAATCTTTTCTGAATTTCAGTACGCTGCCTATCCATTGCTGCATTTCAGATTGTAGAGAATTGCCTTCTGTGCCAGCATAATAAAACTAAAGAATCAACTAGGCACTAATTATGACTCAAGCATACAGGGTCAAGAGGGGTTTTCTAGGTCTTTAGCCAAACACCAGAACCCTAACCCTTAGCACACACTTTTCTTCCCTTCCCCTTCTGCTTATCTTTCTCCCCGCAAAATTAGAAAACAATTAGAGACAAAATATAAACCAGAACTCAGCTGAGTTGGATTCTAACCTCTTGAGGAGATTGAGAAGTGTGTGGAGGCACAACTGCAACATTGTACTGGGTAGAAACACCTGCTGAATGAAATGGTGAAATGCGGCCATCACTATCAGCATTTGAACGGTAGAAGTGGGGATAGTAGCTTGGGTCAATGGGATGATGAACCTGAACAAATGAATAGATGTAAAACTTTTGAAGTATATAAGTATATTTTCTGAGCTTAACCACACAAATGCTTCAACATGTATTGATTATCATTGACACAAAATTTCTAACATGTCAAATCTTTTTCGGAGAAGCAATTGTTGTTATATAGTTCCTACAGCCATCACTATGAAACCAAGCACAATTGAACAAACATGTGAATATCCTAGGTCCCTGACACGTATTGAGGTAAAACCAGTACACACTGAGTAAAGTGTTCAATCAAACTGCTGTGATGTTTAAAGCACCAATATGTAAGTTTGTTATACCAATAACAACTTGAGGCTTCAGAAAGCATTATAATGACAAAATAGGTAGCTAAAAAATCATAGAATGAAGACCTACAAGAAAATTTGGAAGACGAGAAACATCTCGAGGTTGAGATTCAGAGTTTTCAAAGGGTGGGAGCTGATTGCTCAACATTGGTGGCGCAAATCCAAAATTATAGTTGGGGGATGTATGAACAATTGAATATTGTTGGCCCGCTGGCAGAGTCTCTTGCTTCGGTTCACTGCACTCTGGAGCAGAGGATGAGATATCACCATCTCCTTCTGCAGGCAAACTCTCCTGTCCATGTGAAGATGGAGGCTGATCAGGATAATCTGTTTCCTCTGCAGCAGCTGATGCATTTTGATTACTGCATGCATTCATACAGAATAAAAATGTCAGATGTGAAATGTTAGAACTGGAGGACGTGCAAATCTATTCATGCATCAGAATCCAATTTTGATTTGGAAATAAAAGACTTCAGCAAGTCCAGAATAAAAAACTAAGAGGCAAACATGCTCATGCGCACCAAAAAACTGAAAAAATGGGGGATCTTTCTCAAAGCTACGGCAAGAATGCCCCCATCCCACCCCACCACCACACCCCTAACCAAAACAAATTCACACAAGCCTTTGAATATCTGTGTCCACGAAGATCTTTTCTAAAGAATAGCACCAGAAAATAAGAAAACAAGTTGAGTGCAAGGATAAGACCTGACTAAGAAGTTGTATTATAATGTTAAAGATTGAGCCCTAAAACTAAAAAAACTGAAGCTTGTGTCACTTGATAGTTCAAGCACTGAATGTCAGGTAGTCAAGTTAAGTCTAAGTTACTCCCTTTATCCAGTTAAAGTGTCCTAGTTTCACTAGACATTGTTTTAAGTTGAGACTTGAAGTTTTTTGTTGGAAATATACAAGTAGGTCGTCACCCAGGATTTGATCTGGAGGCGAGGATGCAGGGCATGATGTGTAGGTTAGACGCAAGGCAGGGTTTGAACCCTACAACAGAGAAAGCCTCTTACATTTAAGTGGAAAAGGTAGAGGGGCGAACTCATTATCCACGAAATTTCCAACTTGCACTACAGCCCTTGGGGATTTCTCAGTTATCAATACACAATATATATCGGTCCAAAAGGGAGAAAAGAATCCCCCAAGAGCTCAGTTCAAGTGGCAAAGGTTGAGAGATTTGTGACTTGGGTCACATGTTCGAGCCCTGCGCCATGTGAACTAAGCATGATATTTAAGTGGAGAAGGGTTGAGGGGAAGGCCAATTATCCTAAGTCTCAAAAGTTGTAGTTGGTCCTAAGAGTTGGCCCCAGATTTCTCAGTCATCAAAAAAATGGAGAGAAGAATAAACTTTTGAAGAATTTTATTTTTATGGGAAAATTGGGTCCAAAGATACCTATTTTTCTCAACTAGGTGGACCCAACTTTGGGAAAACCTGGCACAACACAAAGTAGAATAGTTGAACTGTGACAGCAGGAGTGGGACAAAGGGAGCAGAGGGTGTATCTAAATCATCTACTGATAGCATGTTTTGAGTTAACCCGTTATTACTACTGTTGAAACTGTAATTTGAAACCAAAAGACTTCTTAAAGATTCAATATAAGTTATTTATTCTTGGTTGATAAGTATAGATATAATAGAAATTACTGCAAAAAAACTTCTGTCATATCAATAGGGGGAGCAGCAGAGAGAGAGAGAGACCTTGGAAGTTGTGCACTTGCAGCTTCTTCAATGCTCTCAGAAGATTCAGAAAGTGGTGGACTTCCATCATGCTCAGGAGCAATATTTGTGCTTGTTCCCAAACTAAAGCCAGAGTCAAAGCTTCCAAAACAGAACCCAAGTTTTTCAGACTCAGGAACGTGTAGGTGATTAGGGATAATAACATTTTCAACATCTGAAATGTGTGATTCCTCTAACTTCTTCTGCGGATCCTCAGTGACTTCTTTTGTTTCAGGAACAGAAGCAGGAGGCTGCGACATAGTATTGACTTCAACAGAAACCGTAGAAACGCCAGATGAAGAAGCAGCAGCAGCAAGAGCAGACCCCTGAGCTAGATTATTGTTTACAGGCTTTGGCTTCCATTCCTTACAAGGACCTGGTGTAGAAAAACATAGAAGACAGTGTTATGCTTCCAGCGTGAATTACTGGACAGATGAGGAAGACAAACTCTATTTGCTAAACTGCATTCTTTATCTTTTCCAATCTAACAAGTGAACTCAAACAAACAAACAAGCAAGGAGACTTACAGAACTAAGGTTCAAATTTTGGGAACACTCTAGTCATCTAGTGACAGAGTTGCAAGCACACCAAACACAAAAACTCAAGACACTATACAACATTTCGAAAGTAAAAACAAACAAGTATCTAAACAAAGATCAATACTTTCAAACCTTTACCAGGCAGTATTCAGCAAACTTCACTTATGCAAGGACCAAATGACTTGTAACGAGTCAACGGCCAATATTCTATTTTGAGAACGTGAACATGTTGCACTTAAACATTTCTGATGCAACATTTTGATTTGGGAAACTCAAACTTGAGCTAAGTTCCAGATGAGACTATTTTTTTATTTGTGAACACTGAACAATTCTAAAAGTCGTATATGAGCATTTTAGAAGAAAAAAATCCGAGTATGTACAATATGAAATGGGCTCGAGAACCAGGGACCTTCGCGCAAACATTTTATAATGATGCTCATAATGATGTATTGTTAACAAAGATAAGCAAACAAAACTTAAGTTTCCACTAGTTCAACTCATTTAAGCTATGCTGATCTCAATTTCAGCTCATATGACCAAATCAACAAGAATTCAAAAATTCTTGTAGCATGAAAAGCATCCCTTTCTATATTCTTTTATGAAGAGAAGATCAAAGTTGTATCTCCATCACTGTTCCAAAAGTTTTACTCTCTATTCATTGTTGCGACATGCAAAAGCTTTTTTTTAATTTCACAAAAGCATCTCAAGCAGAAATGCTATACTCATTCTTCTGCAATGTTCTTCGTCATAAATTTGTGATTTGATAATGTGCAATCTTAACCACAAGCAAGTGTTCTTGTGGGAAATGGTTTTACTGTTTCTTGATAAATTGCATTACGTAATCAAAGAACTTCTTACGGGGGATGGCATGAACTGGAATAATAGCTTTATTTTCATTCTCGTCTCTTGATTAAAAAATAATATTATTCATTTCTCATCTCTACAATAGACCACCCTACTAGGACTTTGCAGATCAATTCATTTGTTTCTGCAACATGACAGTGGCATGGAAAGTTCTAAAGCATCAGTACCAACTGCTGCCTTCGAAATATTTTTCGAAATAACTATTTTTCAAAAAAAAACTCATAATATAACTATAAACACAAAAGTTTTGAACTTCATAAGTTTTTCATGACGGAGAAATCCATCTGTGGCCAACCGTTAGGACGCAGCCTTTGGAACTCAGGGAAAATAGACTCGCCCCTCTACTCTTCTCCACTTAAATACCATGCTTAGATCGCATCGCGTGCGGCTCGAACCTGTGACCAAAGTCACAAGTCCTAGCCACTTGAACCAAGTCACAAGTTTTGAACTACATACTTACGGCACCTATATAACTAACCATAAACTTTTTTTTTATTTCTGGCAGTCTACTTTACGGCTTCCCCCCACCCCCAAAAAAAGGGCACCAACTCTATCTGATACTAGATGTGGTACATGTGAATAAATAGTCTTGAAGATTTCTAGTAGTTTTCTTTGTGAAAAAACGATTTCCGGTATTCTACTCTATCAAAGTACACCATACCACTTCCATCACTGCAAATTTCACAAAATCTATAGTTTTTCTGAAGCTAAAATATAGGCTGTAATTGTGAAAAAAAATTCTGGATAGATGAAACAGAAAAAGATTTCTCTGCATTTTTCTTGATTAGGCTCTTTCTGAGAGTTGATTAAATTATGATTCAATCTTCCCTTACCCAAGCACAAAAAGGAAAGGAAGAAGAACATTATGCAGGTGATTATGAGGCAAAATCCAAGAACTACATTATCAAACTATGTAGCAATAGTAACAAAACCAGTTTAGTAAATCATTTGAGAAGTTAGGGCTTCAAACAATATTACAACATACATATCACGTTAAATTACTGTACCTTTTTGTGGACCAACTGTGTGTGACCGATTGTTGTAATTAGATGACGGCCTACTAGCGGAAGAACCACTATGGGTTGAAGAAGCAGTTTGCGAGTACTCCGGAAGTTGATTCTTTCCAGGCCCCTGAAATTTGCTTGGCGTCTTTACTTGGCTATTTGAGCTTCCAGCAGTAGAAACTGCTACTAGGATGTGAGGGTAAAGAAATATATAAGCTTCATACATTGAGCAGTAACAAGTCCGTCTTCTTAAAAAACAAAAAGGGGATAGTAAAATATATAATTATACAAATCTTAACACCTATTATATCAAATAATAACAGTTTCATATTATTAAGTCTTCAAAGCTTTTACCAGCAGTCTTTTTGCTCCCATTAGATTTAGAAGAAACATGTTCAACCGGAGAATGCTGGGCCCCAACTTCCCTTCTAACTGTGCCTACTACACCAGCGGGACGTGAATCCTGAGATGGCAAGAGCACGGGATCTGAAGCTGAGAGATCAGCTCCTGTTGGAGATGGTGAAGATAGCGTTCTTGAAGAACTGTCGGTGTTTGGCATCCGCTGACCATGAACATCCCTGTTTCCTGTAGCTGATTTTGGGTTTTTGGTGGAATCAGCAGAAGTTGTCTGCATGCCTGTATTTGCTTCAAATTGTTTAACTCCTCTTCTTGGGGGTGCATGAGTATTTTGTACGATACTGTTGCTCCCCGAAGCTAGATCGCCAGGCCCATTTACTGCAGCACTTGATGAGCTGAAAACAATAATGAAAATTAGTCCTTCAAAATAAGACCAGATAATTTAGGCAACCGAAGTCGTCAGAGGGCTTTTTTTTGTAATCAACTATGCACGGCAATACCCTGGCAATCAAGGTATCATGCATATGCAACAATTGCCAATAAAGCAAAAAAAACTGTAAACATCAAATACCACCTTGAAATATTCTTAGCCTCAACATCAGCCACAGTAGATAGGTCGACACTCTTGTCAAGAATTTGATTGGCAATATTGTTTTGACTGTTCTTTCCACCACCTACATCTGATAAAACATACACATGATAGTATGAGTGGATAAGGAATGAGAGGAACATAAGATCAATCTAAAAGAGATATAAAGGCTCTTTCTATGAGCAAAATGAAAAGGCCTCAAGTGTGAAATCAATTTTTTAAAGCCTGATAGTGGTAGGAATGCCTGAATAAGAGGTCAAAATCGGTTAACATGCATTTGAAATAACAGATGAAATGTGTAAATAAAATGACATACTGTAGATTAGACATTAAACCTCAGAAATCAGAACCTTTAGTCATTTAGCAAGAAGGGCACATCAGAATAGATGGAAAAGGAAGTAGCTTGAGTATGTTAGAAAAGTTGGGCTTGTAAATTAAGATTCAGAAGAACACAAAATGAGGAACCAGGGCTCTGCAATATCACAAGAGACTACCAAAATGCAGGAAGATTAAAAACATGTTGTTTACCATGTGAAGCATGACGAGAAGTCAAATTTCCACGAATCCCTTTGTTACCTCTGCCCTGCATGCCTGTTTTCCACTTTGGTTCAGCAGACTCCTTAATTGAATTCTGAGGCCAAAAATGAGAAAGAGAAGATGAAAGGTCTACAGTAACCCAAAACAGTTCTTCATTTATTAGGCGTTAAAAGAATCAACAACACAATCCAAGCAAGATGCTTATACCAAATCGGATTAATCCCTAAGTCCTCCAACAAAGTAACCCATTTGATATTCACTAGGTCCTTAAGAGCCAAAAGATGAATGAATTCTGCTAAGGTGCTAATGCATAGCTATTAGACAGGACTTTTTTCTGATACACCAAGCATTAATCAGTACTACTATGTAATTTTCTTCAGCAGAACAGCAAGATAAGGTGCAACTATGATTACAGCAGTTGAACACCAGATGGCATTCGCAAATGCTGAATAGCTACGTGATAGCGACAGGTCTATAGATATGCTATAGAATTTGTTTTCTGTTTCAGGCAATAAATCACTCGCCCATTCCACACAGACTCTAGAACCTACACCAATGAGCACTTATCAACCAGTATTTCAGCCACAGACCAAGAGTATGCACTACAACAACCTCTTCAGGCACCTAAAACAGATGACTACATTATTTTACAATTTCTCACCCAAAATAACGGAGAAAAGACAACTCATGCCTATGCCACTCCCATAAGACGTTTACAGGCAAATTAGTAAGTTCATCATTTTTTCATATTATAAAAAGCGATTGTAGATAAGCAAATCAGTTCCTAGGCATACCTCTTTTCTCCGATCACGCTTACTTTTAACTTCATGGAATGTATCTGCAAACAAAGCTTACGTGAGTTTAGTAAAGAAACCTAGTTATGTCACAAACACAAAGGGTACCCAAAAAAAAAAAAAAAAAGAGAGAGAACAAAAGACCCTTTAGGTTCCTAATGTGAATGGCACATTATCAAAAACTGTGAATGGCACATTTGGACCAAACCATCAACCTGTTGTACATTAAATCATAGCTGCAAAAATGTAATTTTTAACCCAAAACCATATATAATTTGCTGCAAAATCTGATCTTGAACCAAAAGCAGATTGTCACCCCTCCCCCCAGTTGTGAAGAGTTCGACCAACATAGCACCCCACCCCCTCCTTTTTGCAGAGAGGAGGAAGGGTGATTGCATCTATCAGAAGGTTTTTTTCTCAAACACCATAACAAACTAAAGACAGCCCTTTTACACATATACAAGTGCACCATTAATAAACCCAAAATTGAATTCTGCCCCCAACCCCAAATTCAAAACACCACAAAAGAAAAGGAACAAAAAAGGTAAGAAGAAGAAAAGGTGAGAAACCCAAGGGGCATTCAATTGAGTACAAGGCACATGCAGAAGACCAACCAAAAAAGAGAAAAGGGGGAAAAATCAAAATTGAAGAAAAGGGTCTCTCCAAAAAAACTCATTCTATCAAATAATCAAACCCATAAACAGATCACAAAAAAAAATCAAGATCAAACCCATCTCATTCAGTAAAGTGACAGCTAAGTACATACACATAGAACTACATTTAAAAAAAAAAAAAAAAGGGAGAGAGATAAAAATGAACCCTGTGAAAGAAGCTTCTGAGTAGTCTCATTGGGATCCATAGAACATTCCTTGAGCATTGCATATATCTCATCTTCACCATGATTTCCAGTGATCTCTTTGATGTTTTGGATCGTCTTTCGCATACCAGAAGGGATTGAAACCCTAGCTAATCCCCCAACTATACCACTGTTGCTCATCTTCACCACCCCAAAGACTGCAACCCCACCAATATTCTCTACTTTAGTATATACCCCAACTATATCTCTCTCTGTATATATGTATCACTGAATCTACAGAGAGAAAGGGAGAGGGAGAAAAGAGAGTGATATAATTTTGGTGAAATATAAGAGCAAAGGGTTCAATATTTTGTATGCATATTTATAGTTATTTTTTTTCATGTACTTTATTAATTTAGAAAAAAAATTATTTTATATTATTTTATTGTTATTTGTGGTTTTTAAGGTATTTTTCGTATTTGATTTACTTTTATTTTTTTATTTTTTGTAATTTATTTGTTTTTATTTATTGTTAGTCAAAGATTGAAATTTGAATTAGATCTTATCATTATTATCGTTTGTCGTTTCTGAGTTAATAAAATGTTTACTTGTATATAAAAATAAAATGATATATTATGCTGAAATGTAAAGACTCAAGGGAACGGGTTCTTAAAAAAAAAAAAATTGTTATTGATAGTTTTAAAGAATATTTTTGTATTTGATTTACTCTTATTTTTATTTTTATTTTAAGGAATTTAATTTATTCTATTGTCATTAGTCATGTTAAATGTATTCTTTGTATTTGATTTACTTTTACTTTTTATTTTATTAAAAAGGTAAATTAAGTTAATTGTTAGTCAAACTTTGAAATTTGAATTAGATCGTGTCATTATTATCATTTGTCGTTATTGAGTTAATAAACTGTATACTTTGTATATAAATAAAATGACATATTTTGGTGAAATATAAGACTCAAGGGAAAGAGTTCTTAAGTATTTTGTATGCAATATTTATGATTAAAAAAATGGTATCGGTTGTTTTAAAGGTATTTTTCGTATTTGATTTACTTTTATTTTCTTATTTTTGTAATTTAAATTTTTAATATTTATTGTTAGTCAGAGTTTGAAAACCAAGTTAAATGGTATCATTACTGTTGTTTGTCGCTTCTGCTTATGAGTTAATAAATTGTTTATTTAGCATATAAGTAAAACGATAAAAAAAAATCAAATTATTAATTTAAAAGAATTTTATAGAACGATGAATTTCTTCGTTGATATGAAGAGATTATATTGCTGATTAATAATGAGAAGTGAAGAAATAATCGATATGATATAGAGTTTTTTATGCTAAATAAAGATATTAGGATTTATTTTTAAAGAATATATCAACTTATAAGTGTATATTTTTTGCACGTATATTCAAATCAATTAATATATAGTAATAAAAAGGAAAACCTTTTTTTCTTTTTCTTTTTGCTATTGATCATGTATTTATTGTATTTGATTTAATTTTTCTTTACTTTTTACACGTATATTCAAATAAATTAATATACAGTAATAAAAAGGGAAATTTATATGTTTGATTTACACATTATTTTATAGTTATTTTTTATTTTACTTTATTACTTTAGAAAAGAATATTTATTTATTTTACTTTTTTTATTGGTCGCGTTAAAGGTATTTTTCGTATTTGATTTGTTTTTATTTTTTTATTTTTGTTATTTGTTTGTTTTTATTTATTGTAGTCAAAGATAGAAAATTGAATTAGATCGTATCTTTATTGTCGTTTGTCATTTTTTATTTATCGTTAGTCAAAGATTGATAATTGAATTACATCGTATCATTATTATTATTTGTCGTTTTGAGTTAATAAACTGTTTACTTAGAATATAAATAAAATGGTATAATTTGGTGAAATAGAAGACTCAAGGTAAAGGGTATTTCAATGTTTTGGATGCAATATCTATAGTTGTTTTTTAATTTTACTTTATTAATTTAGATAAATATATTTATTTATTTTTATTGGTCGTGTTAATTTTTTATTTTTTTATTTAATTTACTTTTATTTTTTATTTTTGTAATTCATTTATTTTTATTTATTGTTAGTCAAAGAATGAAAATTGAATTAGATCATATCATTATTATCGTTTGTCGTTTCTGAGTTAATAAATTGTTTATATAGAATGTAATAAAATGATAGATTTTGATGAAATATAAAGACTCAAGGGAAAGGGTTCTTGAGTATTTTGTATGCAATATTTATAGATATATTTTTTAATTTAATTTATTGATTTAGAAATAAAATTATTTATTTATTATTATTATTGGTCATGTTAAAGGTATTTTCGTATTTGATTTACTTTTATTTTTTTATTTTTGTAATTCATTTGTTTTTATTTATTGTTAGTCAAATATTGAAATTTCAATTAGACCGTACCATTATTGTCGTTTGTCGTTTTTTATTTATTGTTAGTCAAAGATTGAAATTGAATTAGATCGTATCATTATTATTGTTTGTCGTTTCTGAGTTAATAAATTAATTAATTAGAATAGGGGGAATACATAGTTACCCCATTCAACTATAACACTTTTTTTAAAAAGACACTCAAACTTTACAAGGATCCTAATACCCCACTAAACAATTTGAAAGTAATATAAATACCCCATTTTTCGGTCAAACCCACTTATAAGAAAGAAGGTGAAAGCACGCACCAATTGTTGCTTGCCATGTGTAAATTTTATATAATTTTCTACTTTTTGTTTTTATTTACAGTTTTTTTTTTTAATTTTAATTATTTATTTTCTTTTCCTTTTTCAATTCACCATCACTGACATGCTATACACCATTTTCACTGTGTTTATTATCATCAAGATTAAACCCTAAAATTGAAAAATCAAATCAGCTAGCAAATTAATTTTTTCTTAAATTAAAATCTCTATCAAAATATTATTTTGTGAACTTTGCCTTTGATTTTTGCAATCAAGACGGTTGTATCTGGAAAAACGGAAATTCTTTCTCCGAGCTTGGATGGGACAATTTTTGCTTGGCGTGAAGACGATTTTCGGCCCCGTAATTGATTAGGAGTCACTGGAAATAACGCCGATGATTCTTTTTTTAACGTCGCCATCATCTTCCCGCGCTTCTCACCTCGCCGGTCAAAAAGGAGGAGAAGATTTTCGCCGGCAAAGAAGGAAGAAAAGAAATCTAAGGATGAAACGGCAAAATCAGTCGGCGTTGCTATCGCAGAGGAAATCAACTAGTTGCCATTGAAAGAGAATGAAAAAAAAAAAAGAGAAAAAAAATCCTTGAAGTCATTGCCATCTCTTTCAATGGTGAAACTCTTAGGAAGGAGAAAGAAAAAATAAAATTTAATTCTAAAATAAATTTTATTTATATATTTAATAAAAAATATTGAAAATAAAAAGTTCAATTATTTTTTTTAGTTTTCACGCTCTTCAGGCGAGTTATATACACTCTCTGTCTTAAATGTCGAAAAAGGGTTTTAAAATTTCACTTTAAACTAGTTTAGGGGTGTATTAGGACCCCCGCAAAGTTTAAGTGTCTTTTTCAAAAAAGGGTCATAGTTTAGGGGGTTTCTATGTATTTTCTCATTAGAATATAAATAAAATGGTAGATTTTGGTGAAATATAAGACTCCAGGGAAAGGATTCTTGAATATTTTGTATGTAGTATTTATAGTTATTTTTTATTTTGCTTTATTAATTTCAAAAAAAAAATTATTTTATTTTTATAAATTGTGTTAAATGTATTTTTCATATTTGAATCGCTTTTATTTTTATTTTTGTAATTTATTAGTTTTTATTTATTGTTAGTCAAAGTATGAAATAAGAATTAGATCATATCATTATTATCGTTTGTCGTTTTTCACTTTATAAATTATTTACTTACTATATAAATAAAATGAAATATTTTGGTGAAATATAAAGACTCAAGGGGAAGGGTTTTTGAATATTTTGTATGCAATAATTTATTTTATTTTATTGTTATTGATCATTTTAAAGGTATTTTTTGTATTTCATTTACTTTTGTTTTAATATTTTAAGGAATTTATTTTATTTTATTGTTATTAGTCTTGTTAAATGTATTTTTTCTATTTGATTTACTTTTATTTTTTATTTTTATTTTTTTTAAAGTAAATTATATTTATTGCTAGTCAAAACTTTGAAATTTGAATTAGATCGTGTCATTATTATCGTTTGTCGTTATTAAGTTAATAAATGTTTACGTCATATATAAATAAAATGATATATTTTGGTGAAATATAAGACTCGAGGGAAAGAGTTCTTGAATATTTTGTATGCAATATTTATGATTAAAAAAATTGTTATTGGTTGTTTTAAATGTATTTTTTGTATTTAATTTACTTTTTTATTTTATTTTTGTAAATTAGTTTCTTATATTTATTGTTAGTCAAAGTCTGAAAATTGAATTAGATTGTATCATTACTGTTGTTTGTCGCTTCTGCTTTTGAGTTAATAAATTGTTTACTTAGTATATAAGTAAAACGATAAAAAAATATCGAATTTATTAATTTAAAAGCATTTTATGGAACGATGAATTTCTTAGTTGATATGAATAGAGTGTATTTTTGATTAATACCTTTTATAAAAAAAATTGTTGATTAGTAATGAAAACTGAAGAAATAATCGATAAGATATAGAGTTTTTTATGCAAATAAAGATATTAAGATTTCTTTTTAAAGAATGTAACAATTTTTAAGTGTGTATTTTTTGAATGTATATGTATCACCGAATCAAAGCGAGAAAGCGAGAGGGAGAAAAGAGAGTGTTATGTTTTTTAGTGAAATATAATACTCAAGGGATAGAATTCTTGAGTATTTTGTATGCAGTATATATTTATAGTTATATATTTATTTTACTTTATTAATTTAGAATTTTTTTTATTTTTTTACTTTTTTTATTGGTCGTGTTAAAGGTATTTTTCGTATTTGATTTAAATTATTTTTTTAATTTTACTAATTTATTTCTTTTTATTTATTGTTAATCAAAGATTGAAATTTGAATTAGATTGTATCATAATTATAGTTTGTCGTTTCTGAGTTAGTAAACTATTTACTTGTATTTCGGTGAAATATAAAAACTCAAGGGAAAGGGTTCTTGAATATTTTGTATGCAATACTTTTGATTTATTTTATTTTTTGTTATTGATCATTTTAAAGGTATTTTATTTGTATTTGATTTACTTTTATTTTAAGGAATTTATTTTATTTTATTGCTATTAGTCTTGTTAAATGTATTTTCTTGTATTTGATTTACTTTTATTTTTTATTTTTATAAAAAAGTAAATTATATTTTTTGTTAG